CCCCAAAACCCCAAAACCCCAAAACCCCAAAACCCCTTACTCAATTTTTTAAATTGAATTAGAAATACAAATAAAACATGGAAGAAGAAATTAATATTCAGGTTAAAGAACAAAAGGATTTCGTAGTTACTAAGAAGAAACTTAGGGCTAATTCAAAACCCTTTAGGGCTCAGACAGTTCTTGACCATCCTAGAGATCAGCCTGATGGTAACAAGGAAGGGATCAAAGGTAAGACAATTGAGATTAATATATGTTTTGAATCGGTTATGATAACTTTTTAGGCCTAAAAAGAAACACAGGAAGAATTAAAGGCTCCAAGAAGACACTTAAAGCAAGATTAAGATCAAAGAAAAGTTTTCATAGTAGTCAACCATATCTTCTTGGACTGAATAGTCAACAGAAAGTTGGTATTTATGAAGCTGTAGGAGTTAATCCTTCAAAAGGATCTCTCCGTGCAAATAAACTTGAATGAGGGTTTAAAATTACCAAGAAGAGAGCAATTTCAAGAAGTAAAAAGCGTAAAAGGACAAAATCAAGCAAGAAACAAAATTTTAGTTTTTTAAATCACTATGTTAATGAACAATACAAAGAGATGAAGAAATAAAGAATCTCAGAATGCATTGGCTGAGGTAAAGCTATACCAAGAAGCTGGGATCCCCCCGCTTCCTAGTGGAAGCCAAAAACAAAGTGTAACTACCGATAAGAGAGTATCCTCTACAGCTTCCACAAAGTATAGATCAAAGAAGTAGAATTCAAATAATCCTCTAGAGAAACAATTAAGAAAACTGAGCCTGAAAGCCCAAAGATGGAATTCAATAAGAAGTTAGGTTTGTTTAGAAAAGTAAGACCTATAACACCAGCAGCAGTTGGAAGACAGAATAAACCAAAGCTCAAAAGAGTCTCTAGTGCGAAAGAAAGAAAAAGTTCTGAAAAGCATGAAACATCAGGAAGTAATAGTCACCATAAGTTATTCTCAAAAATAAAAATAAGTTCTATTCAGGTATTCTTCATCATAAAAATAGCAATTCGCCACTCAGGATTGAGGAGATGTCAAAGATTATGATCTTTCGCATAGAATTGGAAGGGGAGCTTATGCAGTAGTCAGACTTGCTCATCATCACCCTAGCAATGAGAAGAGAGCAGTAAAGTTATATGATAGATCAAAGTTAGTTGATGGAACTAGAAAACTGAGCCTTGTGAAAGAAATAAGAATCCTAAGAAAGGTTGATCATCCAAATATCATCAAACTGCATGAATCTATTGACACATCAACCTATGTTTATTTAGCCACAGAATACATCTCTGGGCCCTCCTTACTGAAATACCTAAAATCCAAGCCAGATAGGAAAATGCTTGAAAATGAAATTAAACTAATCTGGACACAATTAATCAAAGCTGTAGCTTATCTTCACAGCAAGAACATTTCCCACAGGGATATTAAACTAGAAAATATCTTACTGACCAAAGACTGAAAGACAGTAAAGCTCATAGATTTTGGCTTCTCTACTGTCTGATCTCCATATAAGAAACTGAAGATATATTGTGGTACTCCATCGTATATGTCTCCTCAGATAGTCCAGAGGAAGGAATATAACGGGCTCCCTGCTGATATTTGGGCATGTGGGGTACTCCTATTTACTATGTTCTGAGGAAAATTCCCATTCAAAGGTTCTTCAGAAAGGGACCTTTACCGTAGAATTCAGAGAGGTCTTTACAACACTCCAGAGTATGTCCCAAGTCAAGTGAAGGGGCTACTGACTAAAATCTTGAGCATTGATCCAAACAAACGTTTAACAGCAGATGAAATTCTTGAGCATGACTGGGTCAAAAATTAAATTTCTGATTCAATTTAAACCAACATAGAAGGGGTTTTGGGGTTTTGGGGTTTTGGGGTTTTGGGG